CAGCTCAGCTGGCTTTCATGGCCAATGAGCCATTTTTGCTTTGGATGGACACCCAAAGTGCCTACTGTCACAGATGCTGTCTGGCTCCATCTCCCCACAGTACCTCAGTACAGCATGGATTCCCACCAGGAAGATTTCTGGCTTCCATAATAACAGTGAGTTTGGTGACTCTTTAAGCCTGAAGCCAAACTCATGTAACTGTGTGCACAGTGTTAATCACTCTTGTGACTCTGAATTGCAGAGGCCTTTGCTTGTCCTAATAGGTATCTTGCTGTAAAAACTGTCAATTGTAATTGTTCATTCCCACTGATGACTGAAGCTTGCCCTGAGTACAAGATGGTATCAGTCATGGGTATGAAGTGGTCCCCATCCCAACACTGCCACCACCACCACCACCTTCAAACAAAGCAGCACCTCATTATCTTCCCCCCTGAATAACAACAAAGCTTGTGCATTCACTGTCATTTGACCAGCAGTGACATTTCTCTCTTTATTTTTCTGCAATTTGCACCCCTGTTGCTTTTCTGAATTGCTTGATGGTGAAGTGCAAAGTGGATGCTTGTAAAACTTTTCTTAAAGGAACTGCGTCTGAGAAGCACATACACATTTCCCTCAGCAGTCTCAGATATCGAGAAGAGGACACCACTAAGACATTGGTAACCCCAGGTCCTGCTGATTGACGTGGGACCTTGTAATTTCAATAAAAAATACCACCAGCCATTTTCAAGGACCACCTCTGATTCAGCATACGTAGCTTCCAAAACAGGTGCTCACCAGAGAGATTTCACTCCCTTTTAGGAAGAGATTGTAGATTTCAAAAGAGCCTTTCAAAAATATCAATTAAAAACCTACATTTCTAGGTTTTCCTACATGTGCCTTTGTTACATATTCTAGGTACATAGATAAAATCTCCTATATTTTAGAACCAAATAACAGGAGACAAATCATGATAGATGAGTGGTGTCTAGTAGCTTGGAAAAGAAATAATTTTATTTTAAGAATATTGAAGAAATTTTTAAAATATAAATTGAGAAAACAATATTCTCATTCTGAGATGTTTAAATATAATGAATGATTTTGGGTTACTATTTTTTAAAATTGTCAGGTTTTCTAAATTTCCTCTTTTCTAGGAAAAGTAGCACGTATCTCGTTAAAAATTAGAGATTGCCAACTTTTTGACCAATTTACAGAAACAGAGCAGATAGAACTAAATATTCAAAATGCCATTTTTATTACTTGAAAAACAGATTTGAAATGTTTTCTCTTCCCAGCATCGGGTGAGTTTGTTTCTAAGACTTTAATACAAGCTGAGGAGGTAGATGGTTAATACGTGGGGAATGAAAGCCACCTTGAGAACGACCCCACCTGCCCAATGCATTTGGGTCTCTCTGATGAGGAGCTGGCCCTCAGATGATGGGGAAAACAGCCTCCCTGCAGCCAGGAGACAATTAGGAATGCATTTTAGATGAAAAAGTTAGAGAAGCAAAGGCAGTTTCTGGATTCGGTGATAAATTGAAATCCATAAATATAGCAGTGCTAATTTGGACTTCCGTAATTGTTTGTGCAACAAGAAAGTGTACATTTGAGAGGATTTTAAAAGGCAATTACCAGAAATGCCTCCCTTGAGAACACTGTTCATGGAGCATTTCCACAGGGGTGACATAAACTCAAACCTCTTCATACAAATTAGTAAGGGGGGGGGTTGTAAAATCATTTGGGTGAGGTGAAGGGTTTCAGAGGTATTAGCCTGAAATGTAACTGAATGCCTAAAAAAAAAAAAAAGTGCAAATAGGAAAAATCCTTCTTCAAAATCACTAGAAACTTCCAAAGGTTAAGATGTAACCGCTTTCTTTATCTAATCTCCTTAAACTTCTTTCTCCCTATTCCCTTAATGTCCAGGTGCTTTCTCATAGGGTCCCCCAAAATTATTTGCCCAGAGCTCACTGATGAAAGAAGTTACTTTGTGTCATTAATAGTTTCATTGAGGAGCATGACTGATGGTCACAATTTCCTCTCCTTGCTCCTATTGCCTGGGGCTGTGCCTTGAAAGCAGGTGACAGGTCTCAAGATGTGAACAAGTTTTATAATCCTGAAAAATCCAAGCAGGCTCGTCTTATCTATGACAAGAGGGCCATGCTTGTTTGCTTTTTTTGTAATATGGACTACTTCAGTGAGAACTGATCCCCTGTAGCTGTAAAAACTCTACAACCTTGGACTTTAGCTTCCTCTACACACCCTCTTCACAGCTGCCTGGGTGGACGCCAGTTTCTACAGACTGTTGTCAACACTGACTCAAAATTGAAAGAAAATTTTAATTGCTCATCAAGCTGCCAAATTCTACTAATTGTCCTTGTCCACATATTAAAATTGATTGCTGCAGGATAAATTGGTAAATGAGTGACTTTTTTTTTTTTTTTGGTCTATGTCACCTATAAATTTTCCAAGCCTCTGATAGTTTCTCTTGCAAGGAAAGAAGGAGGGAGGCTTTTCTCCAGGGACCCAGCTGGCATTTGTGAAATTGAACTTCAGAAATTTGTACCTTTACCTTCCTTAGACTTGGTGATACATTTCTAAATCAGACTGTTTGGAATTTATTGCTCTTAGTACACCCACCACCCTCTCTTTCTTAGGCCCTATGATTACATACAAATCTCTCTCAGGAAAAGACATGGACCACTCTGATTTGCTCATTTCACAAGTGTGCCTGGTGCAGTTAAAGGACAGAAGCTTCCAAGCTTCTCTAGTAAAATGCAAGTTTTCACACAGCAACCTGGGGGTTGATCCTGAGCAGTTCCTTACTTTACCTGTCCATAGGTGACCACGCGTTTCCATCCAGCCTGCATTTTCTGTCTCCATGTAGTCTCCTGGGGATTCTTTGAAATCTGACTATCTTCTTTAAAATGTCTCATGCCTTCTTGGCAGGATGGCCCCTCTCCTGGAACCAGTCTGTTGCCTTAACCTTCCAGCCTGCTCAGTCCACTAAATCCAAGCATTCCCAGGTGGAATTCAGCAAGGCCTTGACCTTCGGAGGGTGAACATGGTTGTACACGAATGTATGCTTCTGATTTTTCCCTTACTAGTTGACAGTTTATTTTCAGTCTGTTGCTGGATGCTCCCCCTTCAAACTAGCCTCCTAATGTCTCTTTATTCTTGACTCCAACTCTTAAATGATGAGGTAAATACTTTTTCTGTTCCACGACATTACAGGCTCCAGGCCCAGCATGCTGTCACTTGTAACAGCCTCACGTGAGCTCAGGCATAGCGTGAGAGCTGACGGTAAGATTGCTAGATTATTGGTGGACAAGTAAAAAGTGACTCTCAAACAGCAACTCACAAATGCATGAAATGTTTTGCTCTCTAGACAAACTGACACAATTTCTCTTTTCTAACTCCTATTTGTAGTGATAACATTTTTCTCTGTGATTTTTTTTTTGAAAAGGAGACTAGTGTAGTACCTTGAAACAATTACAGTTCTAATATATTGTCGCTATGTCTATTTGACACGTTCCAATTCTTCCAGAATTATTGTACTCAGTTGTGCATCAGTGTCAATAAAATTGACATTTGTGAAGCAATTTCTGGCTTTTTTCTCTGGGGTTTTCGGGGTCTGGTGGCGTGTGGGGTGGTGAGGTCTCTGTTTAACACCAAGACTTCATTTCCCCGAGGTTTATTAAAATGTGAGGAGTTTTTACAAATGCAAACTTCTTGAATCTTCCTTTTCCTCACATTTTCTAACCTTCTTGTTCAATGAGCATTGTACTAACCTATTGTCAGTGGGCAGAACATCTGCTCTTTATTGTTTTCTGGGTGTGGTGGCCTTTGACCCCTGCATTGGTGACACAGATAACTGGTCAACCTGGGAACAGCATGGGGCCAGTGGTAGTTTCCCCATGGTCTGTTCCTACTGGGATCAAATTCACTAGCTTTGCTTCCTCGGCCCCATCCTAAGCTCCTGTGTCTTGTAATTTCAAAATGCATGTGAGTAACAATGGGGGAAAGAATAGATGTCAGGGAAGTGGGAACACCCCAGAAAGTAGCATTTCATCTTTCCCTCGGAGGTCCCTAACAGTGTGCAGAATAGTAATGAGTGAAACTGTGTACTGGAAATGGAGGAAGCATTGACGACTTGATGTCCTTACAATGGTAACTGTTTACCCAATGTTATAACTGGGTTAGGGCGACACAGCAAAGGTGGATGTATATTTCAAAAATCCCCAAGTAACTTCAATGCATTGGGGTACAAATATTTGCAGGACTATGTTGGCAAAGAGTGTCCGGTACACATCACCTCCTGTGACCAATGTATCATGGGTAATATGTACATGTTCATATTATCTAATATGTTATCCTTTCTCGAGGAATAATTGATTACCTGTCACTTTTAACTCATAAGGGGGAGCTGTGAAATGTGATGACCTTCGCCTCGTGTTTCTAAATGACTACCATTGCATGTAATGTGACGTAGTGTTTTGTCCCAAACAGTGTCAGACATGGAGTGACGTCACCAGGTATAACAAGCTTGCTTCTGTTCTTTGTAGAGTGGGGAGTTAGTTGCTTGACTTTTCTGTTAGCTGTGACCCACTGTTACAAGACGTAGTATGCCCTGAGTACACCGGTTGCATAGATGCCTGTTAGATTAGCTCAAATCCTAATCATTTCTCCTTGTCTCATTGTGATATAGTTACTGTGTCTCTTGAACAATTTCTAGAAGTAAAGGCAGTAGTTAAGAGAAGGAAGTACGGTTGTAGGATACGCTATGCTTTGAAGCTATTTTAATGTTATCTGTGCAGAGTTGTCTGTCTTATCCTTGATGTACCTGACACATACTTTGGTATCTTTTACTACTAAGCTTGGGGACAATGCTAGAAAGTCATGAAGGCATTGACCTTGCCATATGGTAGCCAAAGTTCTAAAGACTTGAAAAAGGTGAAAGTTGTAAGTAGAAATCAAGTCCCAGAAGAAATTACTTTCTTTCTTTGAAACTTCTCATCCCCAAACAGGCTCCGTGACCGGTAGCCCTCACCTTTCAGAGCTGTCCATCAACTCACAGGGAGGAGCTGCCCCCGCCAATGTGACCTTGTCTCCCAACCTGAGCCCTGACACCAAGCAGGCCTCCCCCTTGATCAGCCCGCTGCTGAATGACCAGGCATGCCAGAGGACTGATGACGAAGAGGATGGCCGGAGAAAGGTGCTGGTGTGACTTGTCCTCTGTGTGTGTGTGTGTGTGTGTACCACTTTGAACTGTACAACTTAATGGAGTTAGTACATTCTCATTGTCACAAAACCATCAGCACTATCATCTTAGAACGTTTTCATCTTCCACAACAAGAACTCTATTCCTATTAACAATGATTCTGCACTTCTCCCAGTGCCTGGTGAACCCCATTCCACTGTCTTTATGAGTCTGGTTACTTTAGGGACCTCATAGAAGTGGAATCGTAGAGTATGTTGGCAGTTAGGTTGTCCCCACCTCTTGCTACCAGGAATACTGCTGTGGTATACACATATTTGTTGAGTCTCTTCTTGGTTTTCCGTGGATGGACTCACAGGTAGAATCTGATGGAGTCTTGTGAGAAATGAGCAGGATGACAGGCGACAAGGGACTTCCTTTTACTTAGTGTTTAGAGAGAAAGCCATACCCAGTGGCTGCTGCCCACCTCACAGATAGGCTCCAGGGAATCAGGTCACAGTGGTGTCACCAATTGATTTCACCCTTGTCCCTTTCAATCTGGCCACACTTGGCATTCCCACTAACATCACCCTTCCATTTTGTGAAATTTCATGAACACCAACACTGCCAGCCTGGTTGAAGGATCTCTAGGTCCACTTTCATAGGCATCCTTGAACATGGCGAACTGTCACTTTACTGGTTCAAGTCCTTTAGCTAGTGGTAATAATTATGAAAAAGAAAATGTTCCTAGACCGTGCTCACATTGCAGAGAGCCACCCTTTTTTCCTAGTCACTCTAACACTTTGGAGAATGAACATGTTTACTTAACCTTGATGCCAGCTGACAAAAGACCCGAAGTTAGTGATACAATGCTCTAATCAGGATTTTCTTGTGATCAGGACATTCACAGAAACTTCTACCAAAAATGATTATTGTGTCTTGTTTCCTGTGATGGATTTTGCAGAGACTCCCAGCCGACAAGGCATACTTCATCGCTAAAGAAGTATCCACCACCGAGCGAACGTACCTGAAGGATCTAGAGGTCATCACTTCTGTACGTGCAGCATCTCCCATAACATTGATTTACACCATTCATCTCAATAAATGCTCAGCTTTATAGAGAAGATGGAGCTAATTAAATGTTAGCTTCTGTAACTTCAACTGAAAGGATTCTGGGGCTGGAGGTGTGGCTCAAGTGGTAAAGCACCTGCCTGGCAAGCAGTAGATCCTGAGTTCAAACCCCAATGCCACCACCAAAACAAAAAAGAACTCCAGTCCTGGGTTCTAGAAATTAAATGCTAATAGTGTATGTAATTGTAGTTTTTAAGTGCAAAGGAAAGAAGTTCCTAAGACAGAAAAATTAAACATTTTGCTGCCTGTACACACTTATCCAGAATGTTCTATGCTTTGTCCATTGTCAAATGTAACTGCTTCTTTTTGCTCAAGGGAGACCTCAGAAGGAACAGGAGCCACATTTTATCTTTGAGAGTAAGTTGAGGTATGTCATAAAAATGTGCCAGCAGACTGCCTCTGTCATAATCAGGCCTGTCCAGTCTTGGAACCAAAATCAGGGTATTCCTGATGACCCCAGGGTTTGGGGAAGGAGCTGGCTGGTTGGGAGCTGCTGAAGCCATTGTGTTTCTGTCCCAGCTAGTTTGGCCTTGTTTGCCTTCAGAAGATGTTCTGTGAGCACTGGAACCAGTTTCCACTCACGCCAGTGATGTGAGCGGCCGTGTGCAGGAGGCTGCTTTGCCCTTGGGCCGCCACCTTTACGCTCAGCATTCACTAAAGGGATGAAGCAGAGGGTATCCATGGTCACAAACTAGGGACTCTCCAGTAAGGTGGACAGGATGGAGGCTCTGGTGCAAGTAGTTGCCCATTTAAGAGATTCGTCTATCTCAGACAATGCATAGGTAACGACTTTTGGGGAGGGGCACTTCTCTTACCAAATGAGGAATGTGCAAAGCAGCAAGGCCTGGACTTCTCTCTTCCCCTACCCCTCGTTCCTGAGATGCTGCAAATCTCTTGGGAGAGCCCTGTGTCCTCTGATCAGATGCAGCAGGACCTACAGGCCTTCACCAGTAATCACCTGTTGCCCTGTGTTTATCCGCAGTGGTTCCAGAGCACCGTAAGCAAAGAGGACTCCATGCCCGAGACGCTGAAGAGTCTCATCTTCCCAAATTTTGAACCTTTGCACAAATTTCATACCAATTTTCTCAAGGAAATTGAGCAACGACTTGGCCTGTGGTGAGTACAATAGTTAACAATTGTGCTCCCCCCACTCTTCTCTCTCTCTCTCTCTCTCTCTCTCTCTCTCTCTGTCTCTCTCTCTCTCTCTCTTTCTCTCTCTCTCTCTCTCTCTCTCTCTCTCTCTCTCCTACTTCCCCCTACTGTGTAATTTTATGTTGTTCTTATAAGCAGCAGGTGGGAGCTAAGACAAAAGGCAAGAAACAGGCTTAAGACAAGCCAATCTTAAAAATCTTTCTTTTGTGCTTGGATCTTGTCTTCACTTTTTTCCCTTTGGTTTGCAACGCTTCCAAATGCATTTTTGTTAGGCTAACTAAAGGACTGTCACAGAATAAATATAGCTGCTTTTTGGAGAGGTGGCAGGGGTTATTACAGTAGGGACGCATGGGGGCATAGTGAGATATTGGTAATACCTCACTGCTGCTTGCTTTGTAGTTATTTGTGAAGCATGTATATGTCTCAGGCTGTTTGCTGTGTTATATTTAACAGTGTTTAAAAAGTGCTTTGAAAAACATAACACATACACACACTTTGACTTTGATTTATCAGATGGATATTTTTAATATGTGAAATGACATGATCACGATATCCCAGTGCAGGATTAAAGCACTAGAAATGACTCATTGTAAATTTGTTTAAAAAATGTTAAGTGTATTAAATGGCGAATAAAATATTAATGTGGGAGATGAAGAGGGAGGTATAAAAACATCTGGAAAAATTTTGTATGCTATAGAATGCAAAATCCAGTATATCCTTACCTAAAATAGAACCTTTTCCTGAAAATTCTTATGGGCTTTTTAAAGATAAGTATATGGAGACAGACCATGGGGAGTTGGTTGTCTGCTAAACATGCATTTGGAAAATGCCAGGAAGAAACAAAAGGCAGTATCCTCCCTACAGGTGAGAATCTGGTTGAATGTGACCTTGGGGACATTTAGTGACTGGAGGGCCTAAGAAGCCCCATTTTATGCTGTCTTGCCCTGGATGACCCCAGAATATGGCCTTCAAGTTTGGATGCAATAGGAGGGCGGAGCTGCACGTGTGTTATACTTGAAGGATCATTCATGTATACAGGTCCCTCCCTTAATAGAATAAAGTGACAGTTCCCTAATTCTAAGAGGCTGCGGCGGGGAGAGTGCAGCCAGAGTTGAGAAAGAATTGGTTCAAAGTCATCCTTGCTGAAAATGAAAAGGATGTTACTTCCACAAGAGTCTCAGCATTGCGAATGTGAAAGAGATAGCACCTTTCAAAATCAAAAAGTCTACCGAATCTAGCTTTACCTTCCCCAACTTCACCTGGAACTTTTTGCGACCTGCCACGTTGCCTCATAAAAGGGGAATGGTGGTCTCATAGTGGATCGGAGACTGTACAACTCTGGGGAAACCATTTCACATGTTGCCTCTGGCCCATCAGACAGAGATCACCACAATCTCAGACAAGTCTCCCTGGAAGCACAGAGCTTCTCGAGCTGGTGTCACTGGTAGAGAGGTCCCTCATAGGAAATGTCATCAACTGGCAGAACCCTGGCAGCCCATCATGGTGGCTTTTGCTGATTCCCACACTGGAGGACACAACCAGAGAACTTTTGGAGAATCTGACGTGTGTCACTTTGGAATAAATGCCATACTTATGGGTTTATCTCTGACCATAAATCCTGAGCAGCTGACACTTCTCTGTGAAAGAATATCCAATTGCTTAAAGAGCAGCTAATATAATTTCATTCCTGGAGGCTTTTCACTAGGGTATCTTCCAAAGATCCATAGTTTGACCTATGTTTTCAGAAGCATCTGAAAGACTCAAAGCTAGCAAGAGCAGATAGTCAATTAATAGCTCAATTTATGGGACCATCAGTGGCCTTGCAGCAGCAGGCCAAAACAAGCAGATGATACTTACCAGGAATAAAGGTAAAACTCTAAGAGCAAGATCAGCTAATCACTGCTCAAGTGCAGGATGAGCAATGCCTGGCCTGGCAAGGATTCACGGGGGAAAAGCTGAGTTGCACGGAGTTAGCTTGAATCGTAGATAGACACAGAGGGAAACAAATGTCCCCCTGTGCCTGTAGCTCTCAACACTGGCTGCTTAGGTGATTTTAAACCTGGAGTCTTTAAAACATTTTAACCAGCCAGAACCCTAGAGCAATTACATCAGAATGGGGTGGGAGGGAGGGGCGGGCAGAACCTAAGAGTTGGTGTTCTCTACAGCTTCCCAGGCTGGCTGTTCCAGTGTGTACCCAACATCAGAACCTTTGCCTAGAGCTACAGCAAAATATTGCCTCGACCTTGAGGTTCACACTTGAAACAGAATGATGACATAGCATGCTATTTTTAAAAAGTGACTGGAGAAACTAAGAGCATTTACCTTGAAGAAAGGCCTCTAGATCCATGATACTCTCTTCAGACACCCGCAGGCTGGCCTGGGCCAGAACAGAACTGAGATGGTGGAAAGGACTATCAAAGATGCACCTTGAAACCACTTCTGCTGGGAGACTGGGCTGTGAGGTAGGGAGCCCGGCACTCTGGAGTTCTTCAGCAGAGGGTGACTGTCCGTTTCCAGAAGGTATTTATCTGTGGAGCAAAACTCCCCGTCAGGCAGTGCGTGAGGACCTGGGGGCAGTTGGAAAATACAGATTCAGCATCCCTTTCAACCCTCCTGAGTCAGAATTTTGGAAGCAAGGTTGAGAAATTTGTGTTTCTAAAGTACGTGGGGTAATTCTGATGAATGCCTTTCTGGTACCACCAACCTTGCAATGCCTCTGGCAAATCTTAGGTTCTAGGATTCTTTGGTTTGTATTTCATAGACTGGTTAGAGGTCTTGTTTCTTCATTCTACAGCGTAAAGGAATAGATTGATGGATGGATGGATGGGTGCTATGTAGTTTAAATATAGATAATGGCTCCCCCACCCCCAAGTCCCTGTCTTGTAGGATTGGCTCTAGGGTGGTGCCATTGAGAAACTATGGATCTTTAGGAGGTCATTTGGAGTATGCCTCCAAACCCCAACCTGCTCTCCCCCTTCCTAGCTGGAGATTTTCTTTAAGACATCTTCCAGAGGTCCATGATTTTACCCATGTTTTACATGAGGACGTCGGGAGCATGTGAAAAACCCCAAGCACTCGCTCCAACATTGTCATCCATTGTCCTCACGAGAGGCCCAAAGCAGCGGGGCTACTGGATCTTGGACTTGACCCTCCCAAACAGTGAGCTCAATAAACCTTTTCTTCAGAGGTAGCCTGTTTCAGGTATTTCGCTGTAGGAACTTGACGCTGACTAATACAGTAGGTGAGTGTATGTCTTGCTCTCTCAAAGAAGAGGTAGACACACAGGCAAGGTGGCCGGGGGTCCTGAAAATGAGGGTTCTGCTTCCAGGATGGGACAGAGCACTGCTGCCAGTTTGACCTTGGAGGACATAGGAGCCTACACAGGACAGCCAACACGAGCTGAATACAGTTAAAGAGAATGGACCAGAGGCGAGTTTATTAAGGAAGGCGTTGACCCAGGGCTACTGACAAACCTTGTGTGTGTGAGTGTGAGCAAGTGTTGTTACAACAGAGGAAATGCAGGTTGGTGCATGGTAGGGATGGTGAGGGTCCGAATTCAGGTGACTTGGGTGTAGCTCAGGAGTAGAGCACTTGCTTAGTATATATGAATTCAATCCCCAGCACTGCCAAAAATAAAAATAAAAATCAGAGCTGGGTCACACCTGTAATCCTGGCTACTTGTGAGGCTGAGATCAGAAGAATCACAGTTTGAGGTCAGCCCAGGCAAATAGTTCATAAGACTCCATCTCCAAAATAGCCAGAGAAAAATGAACTGGAGCTGTGGCGCAAATGGTAGACTACCTGCTTTGCAAGTGCAAGTACTGAATTAAAAAAAAAAAAAAATCAGAATTCAGGTATACGTGGAGCTGTCCACGGACCTGGCTGACCTTTTTCCTCGTCTGTGGGCTGGAGTCTACCTCACAGGGCTACTTTGCAAACTAAATGAAACAGTGTTGGCTAGTGTCCTGTGTCCCCACATAGAAAGGGGGGAAAGCTGACTGTTTTGAAAAATAAACTTTTAATGCAAAGCAGTTTTAGATTTAGAGGCAAGTTGCCAAGACTTTCTGTGTGCTCCTCCCACGCTTTTCCCCTGAACTTCAACATCGTACGTCACCACGGCAGATGGATCAACGCTAAGAAAGCAACCTTGATACAGTGTTAATACTAAACCCCAGATTGAATCCAGGGATATTATTTTCAATTATTACTAGGAATAGAAATAAATCTAGTTTGCCCTGCACAAAAATAATGCAGTCACAGTGATCTTTCCCTTGGCATTCCGACAAGAGACTGTAAGGTACTTCCACCGACAGTGCATAATCTAGGACAGATATCAGGAAGTTCTCCAGAATGATTAGGCCAAACCTTGGTTTGGTAAACACACCTGCCCCTCTCCAAATTCTTCCGGGTAAACACACCTGAGCAGAGGGTGGGTGCCCAAAGCCTGTTTCATGCTGACCCAGGCCAACTTCCCATTTCTTCAAAAACAAGGAAACCGGTTTGGTAAGTTCTAAAAAATGGAAGAATGCTTTTCCATTTGAAAGCACGGGACTGTTTATGCAGCTGTTCAATGCACAAAGAAAGCCCCAGACAGTCAACCTTGGGCATTCTGTCCAGACAGAACTTTCAGGCCTGAGATGAATGGCTGACGTTGGGTGCATTCAGCCAGGTGGTGCCCTAAGTTGGAGAAGGAGGCCTGTTTTAGTCCAGAGAACCTTGGTGGATTCTACCTCATGCACACATATGGAAGGGAGTTGGGGATGGTGGACAGTCACACAGAGAGGCACCTGAATTTTCTACATATGGCCAGTTTTCAGGGAAAATCAGCTACCAGTGTCCCTTGGAAACCCATGCAGGAGTCCAGCCATGAGGACCACATAGACCAAATGTTGAGATGTCACTAAGCAATGGGATGAGGGGAGGCCACCTGAAGTTAGAAATTAAGGCAGCAAGGAAGAAGCAAG